TTAGACAATTTTAATAATAAATAAATATATCATTAATAATTAATCAAAATATTATTGATAAAATAATATATTACTTTTAAATCTATAACTAAGTAAATTTTAATCAACCAAATTTTATTTAAATAATATATCATATATATGATACGAGCTATATTTGAGCTTAATATCGAGTGTTTAACAAGTTACTTGTTGAACAACAAATGAGTTTGTTTGTGAACATAAATGAGTAAGTTCAACTATACTCACGTTTAGTTCATTTAAAATTTGAGTCTTTAAAAATTGTTAAAGTTTGTTTATTCATTAATTTGAACGAACATGGTTGAGTATTAATCGAGCTGAGTTAGAGTTGTTTATTGAGTGCATTGGTTTGTTTACAGCCATAGCCAAGAGCCTTCCATTAGAAAAAAAATTTGTCACATGCTAACACATGAGCTCTAGTGTTTTATGGTAATGTAACATTCTTTATTATCGCAAAGGGTATTATATTTTTTATGCATTATCAAGAATTATTTATGATCAAATAGAACCTCAAGATAATTTTAATCATAAATATTTTAGATGCAAATTTAAAACCATCTAAAGCTTCAATTTCAGCAAGTTTGTAGTCAAAATGACCATCTCGACAGGATGAATCTAAGAATACCAAAATTGATATAATATCGATTCCATCAAGCCGATATAAACCCGTTAAAAGCCTTTTAAAGACTTTAAATCATTAATTGAATAGTTAAATGAACTCAAAAATTGATATATTTATAATCAAATCGAATGACTCGACTAGAGGAATCCAACAAGCATATGTTCTTTTAATTATGAGGTCATTAAGACACTCAAATCGTTAAAAAAACATCTATAATCAAGAGGAATCAATATATGACATCTGATCAAATGTTTAGGGAAGCTATTCACTAAAAGATCAAAATACACGTCACCAAGAGCATTTAAATATGCTCCTCTCTTCGCCTAAGAGAGGGAGAAGTAAAGAGTAATTCCACCCGACGAATACCATATGCTGCCACCAAGCACAGTCAAATGGTGACCTCTGCTTGTAATCGTCATAGTCCAAATAAGGTCATTGTGCTTAATTCCAATATTGAGGCCCGACAATACCACCTGCCTCCGTAGTCACCGAACACTGTCAACTACCACTGACCTTCACTGTTAGCGGCAACCTACCACCGGTCTACTTGCAACCTTCATGGATCAAATACTACTGTCGTCTCTAACACCAATATTTTTCTTTCACTATAAGAAGTTATGTGAAGTTTTCGGTATAACTCTGTAACCCTGCTCTCTCAGTTATGAGAGATGGGAACATCTTGGACTTACATACTTATAGTGGATTACTTTGAGTGCGCTAGGCCTCACAATTCTTTCCCATCCAGGTTTTTTTCATGTAAATTTTTTTATGAATCCTCCAGTTACTTTTCTTTTGTTTATGAGCGAATTAGATATTCGTGTAACGCTAAAATGTAAAATTATGACTCAACTGTCATAAAATTTTCAGCGCCTAATAGTTTTGCATTGTCTTTGAGAAATGAAGTCTCGTCAATAGAAATTTACACTTCTTCAAAGGCCAACAAATACAATACACGAGATTCTCACTCTAATACTCATCATTCAATAACAAAGTCTCAAAGTCTAAGATGCCAACCTTCTTCTCAATTTCCCAATGACACATCTTATTTACTCAGCTGGTGAATGAACTTTGTACCTCTTAAAGATTGTGTTTGAAGAATGAAGAAATCTCGAAATGATATCTTCTGGATTTTATGAGAGGCTTGATAATCGATG